TTTTTTTGGTCTTTTTGAGACAGGGTCTCCCTATGCAGTTCGGTCTGGCCTTGAGCTCACTTTGTAGCTCAGGGTGGCCTCAAACTTGCAATGACCCTCCTGCTTCAGCCTCCCAAGTGCTGGGATTTCAGGCGTGTGCCACCACGCCCAGCCTGTGGTGAAATACTGACATCAGCAGTACCAGTCTCCTTGTCTTTGCCATGTTCGAGGCCAATGTTAAATCTTTCCTTGAAATCTGAAGATTGTACTATACAATTCTGCTTTGAAATTGCAACATTTCATGTTGAATTTCTGCTTTGTTCCTGTGTACAGTTCCTACATGGGTCAACTTGTGCTCTGTTAGCAAATGTAACATCAATTGGAAACCAGTAAACCAATTGTCAAATGTCACATTCCGATTAGTTTGGGAGTTGCCGGGCACACCTGTAATCCCATACTTGGGAGGCTGAGGCAGGAGGGCTGCTGTGAGTTTGAGGCCAGCCTGGGCTACATAGCAAAACTCTGTCTCAAAAAAAGCAAAACCAACCAACCAACCAATTAGTTTGGGAGATGGGAGCATTGAGTTTATTTACAGCATCATTTGGTTTATTACTATACGAATAAGGACCTGAAGGCTGAGTTCCAGAATCAATGCCTAAACTGAATGCACAGTAAGTCTTCGCACCTACAAGGGCATACATTTTTAGGTCATATTTTGACCCATCGCCTTTCCATAAATCTTTTACATTCCTGCAAGCACTGTGAGAAATCTGTGTAGTATAGCCGACCTCTGAATACTTTCAGTTCAGCTCATGAGGTGTCGTAATAAGCACAGTTTTGAATATGGCTACCGGCCCATACAGAACCTTTTACTTGCATTTCCGTCTTTGTGTGTGTTGCAGCATCTTCTAGCATTTCATCTGTTATAATTTCCAAGACCTTCACTATATTTTCAGACCTAGTTCTAACACTGGACTGTTCCATTTTGCAACATTTCCACCAGTCAAATATGCTTTTTGGTCATCCAAATCCAGGTCTGCATTCCCTGGGTCTGTATCAGTTGATTCTTGTTCCACTTCACCATCCCAGGAACTTTGTTGTTTCGTTTTGATTTTGTTTTCTTTTTTTTTTTTTTTTCTGGTTTTTCTCCGGTACCGGGAACCGAACTCACGACCTTGCGCATGCCAGGCAGGCGCTTTTGCCGCTGAGCTAAATCCCCAGCCCCTTGATTTTGTTTTCACTTTTGAGGTAGGAGTCTTACTGTATTTCCCAGCTGGTCTCAAATTCCTAGACCCGTGATCTTCCTGCCTTGGCCTCCTGGGTGCTGGGTCTAGATTTGTCACTCTTTAGAGGAAGCAAAATATGACAGACAAATGGCAGCATGGCCCACACTACAAGGTAGTCAAAGGTGGTTGCAGCTACTTGGGAGGCTGAGGCAGGAATATGGCCAATGTCAAAGTCATCATCACCATCATCACACACCCACACCACTCTTCTGTTATCAAAGCATGCATTTTACCATAATGGGTCATCTTCATCGTCCATGTGTGAATAATCTGATGATTCCACTTTTGAGCTCCTCCAAAACTCTCAAAGCTGGTTTCTCATGTGCCATTGATTGTACTGAATTGGGCTACTTTGTTGATAAAACTTAGACTCTGAGCTCCAGGTCATCCTGATCAGCCTGCTCTAAATTATTGGCATTCTTTTTGGTGAGACAGCATACTTTCCTTTGGTTCTTTAGACATTTCTTTTTGGCTGTTTGAACATGATTAATACAAGCAATTTAAAGTCTTTGTCTAGTTAAGTCCAATGTCTTGACTTCCTCAAGAGACAATTTTTTTGTCGATTTCCTGCCTCATGTGTAGGCCATACTTTCTTGTTTCTGGCATGTCTTAGAATTTGGGTAATAGGAATGAGACAACTTAAAATGCCACAGAGCTCACTGTGGTTTTGTGTTATTGTTGTTTGCTTTTATTTTTAGGTGGGAGCTTGCTGTGTTGCCAGCCTGGCCTGGAACTCCTGCCTCAGCCTCCCAAGTAGCTGGGACTACCTTGTAGCATGGGCCAGGCTGCCATTTGCCTGTAACATTTTGTCTTCCTTTAAAGAGTGACAAATCTAGACCCAGCACCCAAGAGGCCGAGGCAGGAAGATCACTTGGGTCTAGGAATTTGAGACCAGCCTGGGCAAGAGAGCCAGACCCCTATCTCAAAAATGAAAACGAAATCGAAAGAAAATAAAAAACCAAGAGTGATTTACTGATCTCCAATAGTATTACTTTTCAATGTGGTATATGCTTTCTAATTACATCAGCAAATTAGATAGCATTTCAGGGCCAGTGCTAAATAATACTTTCTTTCTTAGTTTCACTGAGCGCAAAGAAAGACAGACAAAATTCCTATATGACAAGTTTTTATTTGTATCAAATCAAAGAGTATAAGTAAGCGGAAGATTATGATTTGAATATTGTGATACAGTTTACCATTTGGGAAATTACTCAATTATCCGAAGTTTATTACATGACTGAGTGCACACGGGAGAGATCATCTGGAATCATTTGGCAAGATGTATACTTTTATACTTATTTGACTACCATGATTACATGTGGCTCCTTTATCTGTGTGTGTATACACGCACTTCTGAAGTTATTTATAAAAAGCTAAAGATAGACGTGTTAGGATTAATTTCTTTTTAAAAAAATCTATTATATTAAATTGCATCTGCATTCAAGGCAGAAATGTAAAAAAACCAGTTCAATTTACTAAATACACATGAATTTACAGAGTCATCGAAAAGGAAATAAAATTGGTATGCTCCTGGGTAACTGGCATTCGGGAGGCACTGACACACGACGCCGCGGGGAGGCTACACATCGAGGCGCTGGCGTCCGCGGGGCGGGCGGGCCTCAGTGGAAGTCCGGCTTCTCGGGGAAGGTGCAGCCGCTCCGCCGGATGATCACGTTGGCCGCGTAGTGGCCGGCGCGGATGCACTCGGTCAGGACCTTGTCAGAGACCAGCTGAGACAGGAACCCTGCAAGAGGCAGAGAGACGGGGCGGTATGAGATGAGAGCGCCGCAAATGCCACTGGTCAGACCCCGGTGTCGGCACGGAGACCTTCAGGCCCCGCGGCAGGGAGCCGCCCCAGGGGTCTAGAGTCTTGCCCCAGCCATCACCGCCTTCTCCCACAGCTCTCCTCAAGAGCCAGTCTCTCAGGTCTCTCTATGCCTCACCTCTCACGCTTACCCTTCACTCTGAAGTTAAAGTGTGCAGGGCGTGGTGACGCACGCCTGGAATCCATGCCCTCCAGAGGCTGAGGCAGGAGGATCTCGAGTTAAGAGGCCAGGCCGGGCTATAGAGTGAGCCTGAGGCCTGGTGAGCTATATATCATGAGATTCTGTCTCAACAACAATAACAAACCAAAACTAAACAACAGAAAGGGTTTCGAGTGAGAAATGCTGGCCAAATATCACTTCGTCTCCTTATCGCAGAGAAGTAATCGCCGCGCTCCCCGTTTGCTCAGGGTTCTTTCCGCACTGCTGTCCTTCCCAGTTTGCTGCTGTTCGGGCAAAACCCTACCATGTGGGAGAGGCACCTTGCCAAGGCCCTTGCGCCTTTCTTTCATTCCCGGAAGTTGCAGGGAAGTGATTTCTATAGTCAAGCACCACCGACCAGCTGGGCATTTCAATACATTAGGTGAAACAGGAAATAGTGGTGAGGACTTCTGCTTCTGACTGAGAAACTAAAAGGAACCAGATTTACTCTTCCTTCAAAAATAACTAAAATAGGGCCAGGCATGGTGGCGCACGCCTGTAATCCCAGCACTTGGGAGGCTGAGGCAGGAGGATTGCTGTGAGTTTGAGGCCAGCTGGAAGTGCATAGCGAGACCCTGTCTCAAAACAAAAACAAAACCAAAAACAAACAAAAAACCCAAAAAAACAAAACAAAACAAAAAAACTAAAATAAAGACAAAATATATGAAAGCCTGTGTCAACTGGATATGCTGGTTTTGGAGTTTTTTTTTTTTTCCTTCTATTTTTATATTATATTTGGTTTTGGAGTTTAAAGCTTCCTATAAAGAAAATTCCATGTCCCAATGCTGTCACTGATGAATTCTACCAAGCATTTAAGGAAAACAGTACCAATCCAGTACATACTCTTCAGAAAACTGGAAGGAAGGGAATATGTTTCATCTCATTTTGATTTGGTTTTGAGACAGGGTCTTGCTATGCAGTTCAGGCTGGCCTTGAACTCACTTTGTAGCCCAGGCTGGTCTCGAACTCACAACGATCCTCCTGCCTCAGCCTCCCGAGTGCTGGGATTACAGGCGTGTGCCACCACGCCCAGCCAGGAGATCATTTTAATAGAGGCAATAAAAGCATTTGATAAAAATACATCTGGGCATAGTGGCACACGCCCGTAATCCCAGCACTTGGGAGGCTGAGGCAGGAGATCACTGTGAGTTCAAGACCAGCCTAAACTACATAATGAGATGCTGTCTCAAAACAAAACAAAAACAAAAACAAATATTCCTAGTACATTTTGATCACCCCTGTATTATTCATTTCAAATTAAAAAAAATTTTTTTTGGTCTTTTTGAGACAGGATCTCATCTATGCAGTTCAGGCTGGCCTTGAGCTCACTTTGTAGCCCAGGCTGGTCTCAAACTCACAAGGGTCCTCCTGCCTCAGCCTGCCGGGTACTGGGGTTACAGGCGTGCGCCACCACGCCCAGCGTTCAAGTGAATTTTTTGTAAAAGGTAGAAAGGTAAAGGTTGAAGTGGATTTTCTCACACATGGCATCAGTCGTCCCGGCACAGTCTGTTCAGAGATTAACCTCTCCCCACTGAATTGTGTCGGCACTTTGGGCAAAAACCAATTGGTCTCACAGAAGCAGATTTGTTTCTGGACTCTTCAGGCCCACTGATCGACTGGCCTATCTTCATGCCGACTGCAGCATCTTGATTACTGTAGTTCGTAAAGTTTTTTATTTTTATTTTTTGTCTTTTTGAGACAGGGTCTCGCTATGCAGTTCAGGCTGGCCTTGAGTTCACTCTGTAGCCCAGGCTGGTTTTGAACTCACAACAATCCTCCTGCCTCAGCCTCCTGAGTGCTGGGATTACAGGCATGCGCCACCATGCCCGGCTAGTTCATAAATTTTAAAAACAAGCGGGGTAAGCCTCTGTGTTTTTCCTTCCTTTTTAAAGTTGTGTTCTGGTTCATCTAGATCCTTTGCATTTTCATGTAAATTTTGTTTTATTTTTTTGGTAGTGAGAATTTAATTCAGGACCTTGCCCTTGCCTGGCAGGCACTGTGCTGCTGAGCTATCTCCCCGGCCCATAAATTTTAATTAATTAATTAATTAACTAATTACTTAATTTTGAGGCAAGGTGTTATTTTGTAGTTTTCATTGGCCTTGAACTCACTATGTAGCCCAGGCTGGCCTCAAACTCAGGTGATCCTCCTGCCTCAGCCTTCCAAGTGCTGGGATTACAGGCATGTGTCACCATGCCTGGTTCATATAAATTTGAGAAGCAGTTTGCCCATCCTGTAAGAAAGGCCTGCTAGCTGAGTATGGTACACCTATAATCCCAGCTACTCCGGAGGCTGAGGCAGATGATGACTGCAAGCCACAGGCCAGCCTGGGCAATTTAATGAGAGCTGTTTCAGAATTAAAAAGAAAAAAAAAAAAATGTGAGGGCTTGTGAGAGTAGCTTTGCAGTAGAACACTTGCCTGGTATGCACAAGGCCTGGGTATAGTCCCCAGCACCACAACACAAAAAGAAAAGAAAAGCCTGTTGGAATTTGGATTGTTACTACATTAAATCAAAAATTTCTGCAGAGCTGAGAACAATATTATATCTTTTGACCTATGTGCACTTTATGTCTCTCCACTTATTTAGGTTTCTTTTATTTTCCTCCGCATTGTTTTTTCTTTTTTTCTTTTTTTTGGTACTGGGAACTGAACTCAGGACCTCATGCTTGCCAGGCAGGCACTGTGCCACTGAGCTAAATCCCTGACCCCATTGTTTTCTCATTTTCTTTCTTTCTTTTTTTTCTTTTTTGGGTCAGGGTCTGTATAGTTCAGGCTGCCCCTGAACTAACTGTGTAGGCCAGGCTGGCCTTGAATCTGTGGCAATCCTCCTGCCTCAGCCTCCCGAGTACTGGGATTACAGGTATGTGCCAACACGCTGGCTTGTTTTTTCATTTTCTGTTTTTTTTTGAATTTTTGAGAAAGGGTCTCACTATGCAGTTCAGGCTGAACTTGATCTCATTATGTAGCCCAGTCTGGCCTTAGACTTCTGGCAATCCTTCTGTCTCAGCCCCTTAAATGCTGGGATTATAGGCGTGTACCACCACACCAGGATTTCATTTTCAATGTGCAGGTCTTACATGACTTTTATCAGATATATTCCTAGGCAGGGCCCATATTTGATGCTACAAGAAAACAATATTTTAATATTAATTTAATATTAAATGTTAAATATTTTAATATGTGCTCACTGTTAGTATATATAATTACAACATCTGTACACAAACATGCACAAATTACTAATGTAAATATTCAATTGCTTTTTTTGTATACTGGTGTTGTATCCTGCAACTTTACTATTCACTTTGTAGTTCTAGAGTTTTCTAGATTCCACAGTGACACAGGAGGGAGGGCAAAGCTGGCTGGAGAAATGGCGGAGACTTGTCTCTTTTAAGATCCTGACAGCAGCCCGGGCTACAAAGTGAGCTCAAGGCCAGCCTGAACCGTACAGCGAGACCCCGTCTCAAAAAAAGACCAAAAAAAAAAAAAAATAGATCCCAGACAGGAGCCAGCTGACCCTCAGGAGCCCATTCCCAGGACTTCTCCCGGCTCCCACACGATGTGGAGGGCACAAAGAAGCCAGGTGCAGGAGAAGCCCGCTATCGTGACTTCACAGTAGCCCACCCTTTTATTTTTGCTTTTATCCTTTCTTTTGTTTTTCCCTTACCGTTTAATGTCTCACCTTTTCCCCTCCTTTTGGTCTTTTTGAGACAGAGTCTCACTGTACAGTTCAGGCTGGCCTTGAGCTCACAAGGACTGTCCTGCCTCAGCCTCCCGAGTGCTGGGGTTACAGGTTAGGGCCACCACACCTGGCTTGTTTACAATTATTGAAACCAAAATGGGCACTTATATTTAAGTAACTGCAGGGAATCCTTTTACAATATAGATAAACAAACGTGCCCATGACGCTTTTTTGATGTTTACTTGTTTTTTCAGACAGGGTCTTATTCCGTAATTCACGTAGTAATTAAAATCACTATGTAGACCAGGTTTGCCTCGAACTCCCCCCAAATCCTCCTGCCTAGCTCCCAAAATACCTTTTTTTTTTTTAAAAAAAACTGTGTAAAGTACATGTCACATAAAATTTATTTTAAAATATAATTTTAAAATTCTTTTTTTGTTTGGATTTTTGAGACAGGGTCTGGCTTCCCAGTTCAGGCTGGCCTTGAATTCACTACGTAGCCCAGGCTGGCCTTGAACTCGCAGCAATCCTCCTTCCTCAGCCTCCTGAGTGCTGGGCTCATGCCAGTCTAAAAAATAATTTTAAACGTCGGATCCAGTGCCCTAAGTACATTCATGGTGTTGTGCAACTACCACCTCTCTCCACCTTCCAAACTTCTTCATCACTTGCACAGAAACCCTGCACCCTTTAGATTGTACTCTTGTTCTAGCCGAGCATGGTGCCACACCCTTGGGATCCCAGCACTCTGGAGGCTGAGGCAGGAGGATCTCGCCGAGTCTGAGGCCAGGCTGGGCTATATAGTAATTATGGTTAAGGCCTGCCTAAATTAGAGTGAGACCCTGTCTCAAAAAACAAAACAAAAGCAAAGCAAAAGCGAAACAAAACAAGCTCCCACTCCTCTTGGCTCAGTCCCTAGTAGCTGCCATCTTGCTCTGCCCTAAGAACTTGCCTACTTAGGCACTTTGCGTAAGGGTGCGCAGACCACGCCTGTCCTTTGCGTCTGGTTTCATGTAACACAGCGCTCCCCGGTAAGGTGAAAT